ATTAAAAAAAAAAAAACACTGGGTGGATTTTTATCATTATAGGGTGGTTGTGTACATACACTGCCAACACACATTTCAGTTCAAACAACTTGTAAAAGTGCATGTAGCATTATATGACCCCTTCAAAAACATGAAATAACTAAAGAAAGCGAAACTCGCTTGGACACATATGGGTGCTGCAGAGCTTCCTCTGCACTCAGTCTCTTGTCTGGATTGAAAACCAGCAGGCGCTGCACTAAATCAAGGGCATCAGGTCGCACTGATGCTGGCAGAATTTCATCTAATGGCACCTGCCGTCTAAACACACATTCACATCAAGCATGGTTATTATGTCAGCAGAGTCATCATTCAGGTTCAGCTAAACAATCATGGAGTGAACTATGAAGACAAACTGTTAAATATTAACATTACATACCTAAGCAGCATTCTCTGAATCACAGAAGCCCCATATTCTGATCTGATGGCCAACACATCTACAAAAAATGACAAAGTCCTTTTTGGTTTGTGTTTTTAATAAATTAATAATTGATGAAACAGTTCATAATTCTTCATGGCTGGTTATTTTAGTTGTTACCTGAAAGAACAAGCCTCACGTAAAATACAAACTCACCCTCTGTAGAAGGATGTGGAATGGCGCTCATGATTTTTTCTATTTGATTAATGGTAGATGTCCCGGGGAAGAGAGGCTTGCCCAGAAGCATCTCCCCCAGAATGCAACCTATGCTCCACATGTCTACACATTTTGTGTACCTGCAGGAAATATAGGACCCGCTCTCATAAATAATATACTATATATTATGATTAATACATTATAAAATGTTTAAAAACAACTTATTTTGGGGGCCACACGCCTACTAGATCCCAAGAGAATTTCAGGGGCTCTGTACCATCGAGTTGCAACATACTCTGTCAAGGCAGGATTCACAGCATCCTCTTGGATCTGGTACAGGGATCTTGCCAAGCCAAAGTCACACAGCTTCACAAAGCAGTCTGAGTCTAGTAAGATGTTGGATGGCTTTAAGAAATAAAAAATAAAGCAATAAACTTATACCAGGACTGGTTTAAAATAATTCTGTAAGCATGAAGTGATGTTAAAAGGTGTGACATACCTTTTGGTCCCTGTGAATGACATTGCCTGAATGAAGGTATTTTGTGGCTTTAAGAAGCTGGTACATAACATAACGCTTATGAATGTCTTTTAATAGACTTCCTTTCTTTATTACTGCATGTAGGTCTGTGTCTGAAAAGAATAGTTGGTGTGAATAGTATAGACGTGAACAAACGTGAACAAAATCACATCACCACCTACTGCCACCATCAACATAATAATAACTAAATCTTATGTCAATAACAACAACTTGAAATTATGAATATTGCCATAGAGTACACTTAATTCGAATATAAAGGGAATAAAGGTCTGAAGAGTACTGACTAATAAGTACAAAACACTGCAGGAAAGATCATACAAATGGTCTCCTACCCATGAATTCAAACACAAGGTAAATGTCTTTGTCATTTTGGGCTCTGATGACATTCAGTAATTTAATTATGTTAGGATGATCCCCAAACTCCTGCCAAAAGTAAAAAAAGAACGAAGTTTGATTATATACCTTAAAGGGGTCATATGATGCGATTTCAATTTTTCCTTTCTCTTTGAAGTGTTACAAGCTCTTGGTGGATAAAGAAGATCTGTAAAGTTGCAAAGACTAAAGTCTCAAATCCAAAGAGATATTCTTTATAAAAGTTAAGTCAACTTCGCGCTGTGGATCGCCGGATCGGCTTTCATCCTGGACGAAGCAGAGTCCAGCCCGGGTTCGTCACATGTGGTTGCCATGTGGCTGCGCCGTTCTCAAGCCCACCGGCCGTCGCTCACTCAGCACGTCAGCCATTCCTCACTCTAGCCTGATGCCTGATTTCAAATGGGTTTGAATGTTTTTGTCTCGTCGCTCCAGCCGGACAGGGCATCACAATATGGTAGGGGCGTAACATTTCCGTCACACGCTTGAGGTATTCGGCAAATCACAACGCACTGGATAGCTGGCCAATCAGAGCACACCTCGCTTTTCAGACCGATGAGCTTTGTAAAAATCGATGCGTTTCAGAAAGGCGGGGCATAGAGGAGAAACAATAATGTACAGTATGTGGAAAATAATGTGTTTTTTTAACCTTAAACTGCATAAACACATTTCATTACACCAAATACACAAAATAATGTTCTTTTTAGCAACATCATATGACCCCTTTAACAAATACAAAATTAGGTTTTTAATGTAAACTACTGTTCAAACATGTGGGGTCAGTGGATTTTTTTCTCAAAAGAAATTAATACTTTTATTCAGCAAGGACACATTAAATTGACCAAAAGTGACAGTAAAGACACTTATAAGTTACAAAAGATTACTATTTCAAATAAATGCTGTTTTTTTTTTTTTTTACTTTCTATTCATCAAAGAAAAAAAATTATCATGGTTTCCAGAAAAAATATTAAGCAGAACAACTGATTTCAACACTGATAATACATTTTATTGGAAAAATGGAGTAATGGCTGCTGAAATTCAGCTTTGCCATCAGAGGAATAAATTACAGATATATTAAAATAGAAAACTTTTTTTATTGTAATAATATTTAACAATATTATTTATATAGTTCAGCCTTGGTGAGCACAAGAGACCAAACTTTTGAACAGTAGTATAAATATAGACTGAAACATGAATATTTGGCTTCCAAGGTTTGGTCAAAGGGCAATATTCTTACCTGAAGGAACATAATTTCTCTGAATGTTCTCTATGAGAGAATGCAGAAAAGCAGAAAAATATGAAATTGAGACATTTAAAAAAAAAAAGTTAATTAATAACTGATTTGATGTTTATTTGTTAATACATAGAAGAGTACTATAATAGTTTAGTATAGTATAGTATAGTATATATCTTTTTCAGTCCATCCTTCGCTCTCCACCTCTCTATTTTACTTTTCTCTAACCTGAGCATCTGTTCGATTCCTAAAGGCATCAAAGATTTTCTTCACAGCAACAGTCTCTCCTGTTTTTCTGTCCACCGCCTTCCAAACAATTCCATATGCCTGTGAAATGGATTAGAAAATACACCATTATAAGATTATAGTTGACTGAAGGAAAACATACAGTGTATGACTTAATGGCCAGTTCTCAAGGAAGGGTTGCCATGAAACGTCTCCGGTTACTGTGCAAGCGCTCAGTCTTAGATTCTGAGGCAATTGTCGCTCTCACCGCATTATATACTGCCCACCAGCTTGTCAGCATTTGCATAATTAGTGACAATTGACCAGTTTATTGTACTGGCGTTATCCTATACGGTTTCAGGATTTTCTGAGAAGCGGAGGAGTTCCCACTGTGTATGCTTCGCAATGTAGAGTGAACACTCGAAAGGGAACCCTCATTTAAGTCATTTGTGCTCACTGCAGTTTCCATTTATTTACTGGAGTGACAGAGGAGAGATCAAGCAGTTTATAAAACCTTTGTTTACTTACTGCCATTATTAACAGTTCAAGCTGTTTCCCTATGATGTTTACTGCCATGATTAATCCTAAGGGTGGCCTTTCTTTGAATACAATATTTTATGTTAGATTTTCTATTTTGTAGATTGTATTTTTATTAAAAAAGTGACTTTTGTCCCATTTATTTCTTGAAGGATTAAACAGAAACAACAGTCCTTCATTGCATCCATTTAAACTGCATGGTACCCGCCAACTACAGTACAGCAGTTCTTTCAAGCATATATGATCACTATTGTGCACAACGAATGATTGAAACAATACCCCATGATCCCCGTTTCAGTTTTTTTTTTTTTTTTTTGGATAGTCCAGATGAGGCTGATGGTCTAATTATTGACCACAATCAACATAACAGCAAATACATTACCCTGTCCATTAATTATAAGATTGACGTATAAGATTGTATGAGGCTAATCTGGGCACTTAAACACATAATAACAGTAAAGTGAATGGCTTACCCCTTTCCCAAGTCTTCTCTTGATTTCATACTTCAGAGTGATGTGTTCTTCCACCTCCGTGATGTTCATTCCGTCTATTTCCTGTTTTACCACTTAAAATGAATCTGAATTTGTTTTGAACATGGTAGGAATAAAATCCTGGATGCTTGAGGAATGCAGGATTGACCCAAAATAGATGTAATAAATTAAAACTAAAAACAAGATCTTACGAATTCACTCCACTAAGTTACTAGAAGTACACTTTTACTAAGTGATATGCCGAATAATACATCTAAATACGAATTTATCACGCGTTACTCTTAATCACTATTGACAATCCAAACATTTAAACGGAGTTACATAAATTCTAAACCCGACCAGTTGAAAGCAAATGTTTGTCGTTTGGATTTCACCATTGATACCTGAGGTCGCTGATACCTCTGAGAAAATCAATGGTCTGGTACAAAGTTACGCATCGCTTGGGTTTGTAATTGGTTGTCGCCATGGAGACGCAACCCTACACAGGACGCAATGGACCCTCAAAATCAATGGTCTGGTACAAAGTTACGCATCGCTTGGGTTTGTAATTGTTTGTCGCCATGGAGACGCAACCCTACACAGGACGCAATGGACCCTTTTCACAAGACTGTGATGACGCGTTTACCGGTCATCAGCATCGAAAATCCACGAAAGTTTTTCATATTTGTATTTTTTTTTTTTATGTATGTACATTTATAACACTATTCTTTGTATTATGTCACCTTTGCATCAAATTACAAAAAAAAAAACAGTTAACGCTAATGCGAGGGTGTTTCTAATGCAGCGTCTATGGGAGGGACGGTACATTTGACATCGTTCTCTCTTCTGACAGCCGATATCAGTCTCTATTTTGTTCCTTTTATTGAAAGTCATGAAAACACTATCGTGGAGTTTTTCTTTTGCTATTTGAGCAAATGGGAATGCAAAAAATATATTTGTGGTACTCTCCCATTCATTTTTTTTTTAATTTATTTTATTTTATTATAATATACGAAACACAGAATGACATTAAAGGGGTCATATGATGCTGCTAAAAAGAACATTATTTGGTGTATTTGGTGTAATGAAATGTGTTTATGATTGGAAGAGTCAGAAATCAAATACATATACAGTTTTAACTCTTCCAGAAAAAGGTTAAAGAAAGGCTTACACTTACAATATTTACATTTGTGTACAAAATATTTGGCGAGAAACAAAATAAGATTGAGTAAATAGAAAACATCTGATTGTTCTCTTTTAAAATGTGTATAACCCAGAATAACATTTTCATATTTCAATTAAATTTCAGGAATTATACCACAAAAAATACTCGAAATGTTTTTCCACAGATTCTTAGTATACTCACAATACCAAAATAAATGAGACAAATCTTCAGTTTGGAGACCACAGAAGGAGCAATTTACATCAAAATCCTCAGAAACAAACCTTTGTAAAAAACATTTTGTGGGATAGCACCAATGTTTCATTTTATAAGACACTTTTTTTTATCTTATTGTACAAAAATAATTTTTGAGGCAAAACCCACACTCTAGCCCAGCTAATTTCACCTACATGTCTGTTCCAATAAAAGATAGCATTCGGACAAGAGACAACCTCATTCTGGAACAGAGCACGAATGCTCCTATTATTTGATTTGGTGTTAAGGGATAATTTACCAACATTGGTGGTAAGGGATAATTTACCAACATATGTATCAAATACATTGAGAAATGGCACAATCTGAGAGACCTTGTTATTAAAACCCCTCATAAACATAATCCCAGAAGGGATAGCGCCAAAAACAATAGCATATTCTTTTGCTGTAATTGGGATTTTATAATGTGACAAAAACCCCTCATATTTTAAAGGAATCCCTTGCTATTCAAGTTATGAAGTTAACCCAACTATGACGACTTCCGCTGCTGAGAAACCCGGAAATGTGAAAAAGGTCCATCTCTGAAAGGAGTCGCATGTTTGATAAAAGTGCGGGTATATTAGCGAAATGTCGGCGAAAAGTTACATTGTAATGTAATAATATAGTGATGTATGAAGTACGAAGCATTACCTGCACAGTTGTCAGTTTCAAACAGAGCAGCTTTCTGTTAGTCGGGACTGCTTGACCAACGTGAGACCAAATTGAACCCAGTGTGAAATCAAACTTTAACTACCGAAAATTCACCGGAAAAAAAATCCGCTAATTGTGACTGCACTTGACTTCCGCTGCTGAGAAACCCGGAAATGTGAAAAAGATCCATCTCTGAAAGGAGTCGTATGTTTGATAAAAGTGCGGGTATATTAGCGAAATGTCGGCGAAAAGTTACATTGTAATGTAATAATATAGTGATGTATGAAGTACGAAGCATTACCTGCACAGTTGTCAGTTTCAAACAGAGCAGCTTTCTGTTAGTCGGGACTGCTTGACCAACGTGAGACCAAATTGAACCCAGTGTGAAATCAAACTTTAACTACCGAAAATTCACCGGAAAAAAAATCCGCTAATTGTGACTGCACTTTAATAGCGTTTCCGAGGCCTTTTTTCTCAAGTTCAACCAAATGAAAGGATTTAATATGATTATTTGTAAATATAATCACACAGAGAAAAATATTTTTCAAAGTATTATGTGGTTTATTTCAAAACTATTTTATTTACAACGATCATTTAATAAATATGACTTATTAGCCTACTTAATATAGTGAGCTAGACCAACACCATGCCAGGGAAAGAGTAAACCAAGTTCTTAATCAAGCTGTTATAAAAGTCAAGTTTATCAACCTATAGATTTTAGGGTACTGTAAATGAATGAGCATATTTAACATTGTCTCATTTAAAAACTGGTAAAAATTTTAACCAAAAAAAAAAAAAAAGTAAAGTGTGAAGCTAGACAAACATTATCCATTTAAAATAAAATGCAGTACTGAGAATTCATTATCAAACCTTGCTCTATAAGATATTATGAGATCCATAAATGATCCATTAATATGTTTATTTAACACATGTATTTATAGAGGCAAGCATCTTTTGCCTATAATAAACTCCTCCCTATAATGCCCTCTTTGCATCTCAGCTGGCTATGTATTCGCTATTGCCATTCTAGAGAACACTTTCAGACTACCATGTGATAGAAAAATCTATTTACATTAAAAAAAATCTCTAACTCTTTAATTTTCAAATCTGTGAATAATACAATCCTGATTTTATTACTGAACAACATAAGCCTTAGTAAACAGTACTCTAATTGGATATGAGGTTCCTACATTCCTACAACAGACATGGGCAAAATAGGGAAAATGGTTTGATAAAAAGCTGGTGAAAAGGAGTTCAAAGAGCTCAGAGAGGGAATGAACATTTAAGAAGAGTGTAAGAAACGATTAAAGGCGTTGTAGGCAGACTCCAGGTCAAACAACATCTGGCGAACCTGGGAGTCATCCAGCTCATCAGATGCAGACATGCTGCTTAGTGTGGTTAACCTGTGAGGAAGAACAAAACAGTGAGCATTGTTTTCAAAGTGCAAGAAAACTGAATTTGTTTTTCAGCCAGTTTGATTTCGTTTTGATTTTAGATTTTGGCAGATGAGCTAACAGCTTAAAGTGTTAGTTCACCCAAAAATAAAAATTAGTCCATAAATTACCCTCAAGTCATCCTAGGTGTATATGACTTTCTTCTTTTAGACGAATCCAGTCAGGGTTATATAAAAAATTGTCTTTGATCTTTCAAGCTGTTTTAATGCCAATCAGCGGGTGTTGCAGTTCATCAGTCCAAAAGAAGTGAAATAAAGCGCATGCATCCATAATAAAAAAAGTGTCTCACACGGCTCCGGGGGGTGAACAAAGGCCTCCTGTAGCGAATCGAATTTATGGGCTAATTTTCATTTTTGGGTGAACTAACCCTTTAAATTTAAATTCTTAAGGACTAAATGTGATTTACAAAAATTACCCCAGTCTTCAGTGTCACAAAATACTTCAGAAACCATTCTAATATGCTGATTTGGTGCTTAACAAACATTTCTTATTATAATCAATGTTGAAAACATTTGCGCTGCTTATTATTTTTGTGAACACATGATACTTTTTTTTCAAGATTTTTTGATAAATAGAAACATAAAAAACAGCATTTATTTGAAATAGTAATGTTTTCTAACATTATAAATGTCTTTACTGTCACTTTTGATTAATTCAATCCATCCTTGCTAAATAAAAGCATTTACAACTTCTTCAGACAGCAAAGTTTTGAATTGTAGTGTACTTCTGCAGTGAAACTAGGCTTACCAGAGGCTGACTTTGTCTTTGGCCTCTGAATCTGGAGGCATGTTGCTCATTCTATTCATGGTCTCCATGAGCTCTCTCAGGTCAGGCTGGATCTATAAAACAATTTTCTCAGTTAATTAGTAATTCTTAAGCTCAAGAAGACTTAAACTGTCTCTAAATAACATTACGTTAATCTAATTAAGCTGATGAAATAAGTCTATGAAATGAGTACCTCATCCATGGCACGAATCTCAAGTCGAAGCTTGTCCATCACTGTGATAAAGAGCTGCATGAGAGAAAATAAAGATTAAAAAGGTTATAGGAGCAGATTTTGCCTGTTCTTATGATTGCTAAGTGTTTATTTTAGCAGGGGCTCAATGCACCACATACTCTACTGTGGAGCCCTGTGAAAAACTGCATATAGCATTATTTCTTCTAGTCTGATTAAATAAATCTACTTAATGGAACTGTTGGAATAAGAAAGTATCCTCTGTGCTCAATCGATAAACACTGGGGCGTTCTGGCATTAACTCAAGAAGCTATTCATTCTAGGCTACATAAAATCACTAAACAGAGTTCAAGATACATACAGAAACTATGTCTGCAATGCAGCGATTCAGGTTGCCCTTATCATCCTTAATGGTGATTGGTCGATCCTCTTTGATCCTCTCCATAGCTAGTGGACAGTCCAGCTGTCAGAAACAAACAGTGGAAAAAATATTAAGAAACTAAAACATACTGAACCACATGTAAAAACATACACACACACACACACACATATATAAATATACATGTATACACAAACGTGTGTGTGTGTGTGTCCAATG